AGCTCCAGCAGGAGCTCCCAGCTGCCCGCCTCGCCCAGCGCTGACCTACAGGCATTTTTACCATGGCTGTCCCAGGCTTTTTATAGTTTTTGGACACTTGTTGCATATAGGATACCTTACAGGTGTGGGCCTTTGCTGAAGCATTAGCTAGCTGCTTGGGGAGGGCTTGGGGTTTGTTTTTTTCTCTAGTCTTGCTTTTCTTCAAAAGCATTTCAAAAACAGGGGAAAACTTCCTGGATTCAGTCTGAATTCAAGATGCAACATTTCACAATCAACTCACCAGAGATTAATTTGAACTGTCTCAAAGAGTACTCCTTGGATGAGAGGGCAGGCACATATTTAAAGTGGTGAGTAACTCTGTGAGTCCAGGTGCAGCACTGCCAGTGCAGAGCACTTGCAGGGGTTACCCAGTCCCATGGCAGCAGCTGCACCAGTGCCACAGCCAGAGGATTTCTCCCTCCATCCTTGTCCTGCCCAAAATGCCTGAGTATGATTCAAGCTTTACCACTTGGAGACTGTGATTGCTGTTTGCAAGGGAAATGTTTGCTATTGTACTGACCTGGGTGGTTGTTCCTGCATTACTTCAACACAGCAATAGCTTTAAACAGTTGTCTGGTACATGGCAAAGCTGATGCTGGGATAATGTCAATTGCTGGGTCAGGGTCCTCTTCCCTGTGAGCTCTTACCCTCTGCCTACAAGATTTGTTTAGGGGTTATGGGGTTTTCTTTCAGGTTAGTCATAAAACTGAGTAGCAGTTTCATTTTAACCCTAACTGGCTCCTGCTGTTTCCAGTACCTGTATGCTCTCCCAGTCCTCTTGGTGTTCCTTCAGGGCACTGTTCCCTGCCTGCACTGCCTCATTTCAGTCTGAGAACATGCTTGGGAGAAATAAAAGATACCAACTGAGAAGGCCAAGCTGATGATAAAAACAGCCCCGGGGAGGGCCAGGGAGAGGCCAGTTCCCAAAGAGTGCAGGCATAGTCTGTGCTGCAAGACTATGCAGTGGGTCTGGAGCCCTGGTGGTCTCTAAGAAGGAGGCCACCAAGGTTTAGCCACTCAGGAGTATCCCTTTGAGCTGAGTCCTGTGGGCCATAGCTGTATGTCCCCAGGCCAACAGGTATAGGTCATTCCTTTGCCATTAGACTTTAGTGTTTGTAACAGGTTATGATATATAACAGGTTATGATATATGTGACAAGGCACCCTAAAACATAACAGAAAGTCTTCAGGTTTGTAAAGTACAGGTCCTCATTTTCAGTTATTTATTTTTTCCAAATTGCAGATCTTGAGGCAGGCCGTATGTTTCATTTCCTTCACTTTCCAGGTCATGTGAAGAAGTTTAGAAGGGAACTAAAGTGATGTAGTGTGGTAGTACACCATGTATGCCACATCAGAGCTGTGTTAGGGACCGTTTCAACAAATGTTCAGCTTCTTCAGATAGTCTTGGAAATGAGAATTGCATCCTCATCTGCTTTATTGTGGTTTTAGAAGGTGCTTGGGTACCAACTTACCAAAACATTACATTTTGGTGGGTGGATGAAGTTCTGTTCTGAAATACTGAAGAACCTCATGTAGGACATTGTGTAATTATGTGATTGTCTCATTGAAGGACTGATCAGTTTTTTCAGGAGAAGATTTTTCGGGCTGTGTGGAGGAGAAAAGGTGCTCTATGAACTATGCCTGTTACTAGATGTTAATGTCACCAGTGTGCCAGGGAGAACTGTGTGGTTATGGGCTTGGTTAGCAGGTGCTGAGTGAAGCATGGAGGACTGAGTTCCCTGTGCATAGAGATTGCATTGACCCAGATCAGGTCTCTGTCAGTCTCTCAAATGTTTCTGCAACTGTATGCACCATCTTTGGAGGATTTGGGGAGACAATTGTAAGGATGGCATGTTTGTGGGAGAAGGAAACCTGTGGGAAAAGACACTGAGATGCAGTAGAAGCGATCTCATCAGCACAGTCCTGTATATGTCAGTGTGAAGTAAGATTTTGACCATGTCTCACAGCCCTGGAAAGCCTCTGGGGCAGTAGTGTCCACTGTGAGCGGTAGGTGGTGGAAGGGACTTTGGCATCATCCCCAGTCCAGATGTCCCCAGGGCAAAGGGTGCAGGCCAGGCTCCATGGGAGTGAGCGGGGTACCTGGGGCTTATCCTGGGGGTGGGAGGGTTGAGAGAGTGGTGAGAGGGACATTCAGTGCTGCATATGAGGTCTTAGTCCCCTGCCCTGAACCCTTTTTGCGAAGAGAGCTCACATAACCCATCTGGGTTGACTTGTAGGGCAGGTGTCATAACAGAACCAATTTAAATCCATGGGGATTTTGGAAAATATGTCGTCAGGTCCTTCTCCTCCTGGTTTCATCGTGCATGTGTCGCCCTGTGTGTTCTCCTGCTGTCAGTCACTGTGGCCATCTTGGTGGGACCAGAGGGAACAAGGAGGCTCAGCCTGCACCCACCGAGCCCCCATCTGGTAGTACACTGGGGTACCCAGCAAGATTTAGCTGCCAGAGCTCCCTGGGTCTTCCCAAAGCGGTGTGGGGCAGGCAGGCTGGGAAGCTTTGCATTATTGCTATTATTTCTTGTTACAGTTTTTTTTTCCCCAGTTTCTGGCTCTGCAGACCCCCAAATGCTCTTAATGGAGATATGGCCTGTTTATATGTTAATTTTAAGTCTGCTGACAAGCGGTTTGCTTTTCTCCTGACTTCTCATGGTTCCCTCGCCCGTTCAAAGCTGCTGCCATGGGCTTAGGGGATAAGGTGCTGAGAATTAGAAAATAAAATAAAATCTGCAGGATGCTGGAGAGTGAGGAGGTACAAGGATTGGCATGCTCAAAGTATAAACGAGTGATTTCTGAAAGCAAGGAACCGTGATACCAGGGGCATGCATGACAATTACATCCAGTACAATACAAAATGTTAATTACTGAATTTTGAGAAATTAATGCTGATTAGCAGCTGTGTGTGTGTGACCTAAATACATCTATTGCTTGATCTTTATTCATAATATACAGTTTATTGTTGATAAAGTAATGGCTGAATGGTGGGCTGGACCACGAGTGTTGTGCTGAAAACTGAGGCCCGATTTGTAAATCGTCTGAAATTTGTTGGCATCTGTTTTTTGTGGAATTTATATGGATGGGGAAGATGAATAAGTCTGAGCTATCCCCTTTACAACTCAACTCATAGATATTATTGAGAATTCATTTTGCTTTTATTATTAGGTCCACAAAAATGGACCTAATGCTTGTTGGCTTTAAAACACCTACTAACGCTGCTTTCTCTCTCCATCTTGCAAAATATAAGACAAGGCCGAAGCTTAAATTAAAATCCTCAGGTTCTTATCTCTTTCCCACAGGAAAGCAAATCTGTGTTGAAAACCGTAAAATTAAGAGGAGAGCAAGGATAGCATAATTTAGCAAAAATTCATGGCACCAGATTCTGAGCTATATGACTGGAGGGATAGGTCAGACATTAAGAAGATACTGCCTGCTAATGCAAGTTCCTTAAGGTGGTGCTCTGGAAACAAGAAAAGCGGAAAATGCTGCACTGGTTCCCGTTTGTTTCCTCTCCTCTACTCCTACCGATCTTAACAATAAATTGAGTTGTCCATTATATAACCCATCTGCTTCCAGAAGTCCAGAGAAATCATGGAATTGTGCATGGACCTTTGTCCTAATGTCTGTTTTGTGCTGGGATTTTAATAGTGAACTCAATGAAAATTAATTTCATTGGCCTCTTAAATTATTTTTTTGTTAATTCCTTGTGTTTGACAGGCTGTCCTAGCTGAGTTTTATCAGTGTGTCTCTCTGAAGAACAGCTCTATTTTTTTTTTAAATTTTATTAAATACTTGTTTGTTCCATAATTTTTTGTGCTAAGGGGCAGCGTAGAATAGCAGGGTACAAATGAGGAGTGCCTGTTACATGGTGGCATTATCACTGTGGCTCATCCCACCGTAGAAAGAGCAACTTGTGCTTCAAGCAGTGTTAATATGGCAGGATTTCATTGGAACAGAGGAGTTCTGTTGTCTTGCAGCCTTATCTAAAGAGCATCATTTTGGGCAGCATCCTTCCGTCATGCCGACTGCCTCCTCCCCTGTGCCTCTACAGGAAGTGCTGATGGGAAGTGTGTGTCTTGACCTATATGGGCATCACCTTATGGCACCCATTTCAGGACTCTCTCAGGTGTTTGCAGCACTTTGACTTTACCTTGGCATGATGCAGGGAGAGGCCTCCCAGCTGTCCCCAGGCAGCCAGCAGGTCTCCCCCCTAACTGACCACTCTGAGAGGCCTCTGCCAACCACTCGTATATGAAATCAGGCTCTTAAGGATGACTTTTTAGTTACCTGTTAGACAGACCAAGAGCTTTCAAGCAGACTTCGTAAAATTGCAAGGGAGAAAATCTGCTGTGTCCTCTGGCAATGGCGGGGATTTGTCCCAGCTGTGCTGTGCCATGCTACACTGCGGCTGTGCAGGAGAGCAATGGAGAGCAGGAGTGAAGTTGATGAAGCTCGTGTCGCTCTTAAGGCTGGAGATGTGGCAAACCTGCACTTTAAGCCTTTTCTTTTAATTATTTTTTTTTTAAAATGCTGTTCCTGTAACCAAAGGGTTTTTGCAGCACTGCTGCTGACTCTGCAGTCCTTTGCCTGCAGCCCTTATTGCACGGTGCCTGCCTGCCCAGCATGTTGCTCCTCCTGCCCTGGGGCTCTCCATTTGCCATTTCCGCTCCCTGTCTCCCAAGTGCCTTTCTTCCTGCTTCCGGCCCCCACCCATTTCCATGCCTTTCCTCAATATCTGCATCCCTCCTCGGGTGCCAGGATGCCGATTCTGGCATCAAACCTAGTTTCCATCCACTAACCCCAATGTCATGTCTGTCCATCTTCAATTTCCTCCGCTTCAGTAATGCAAATATTTAAAAATTGCATTTTGGAAATGTTGGGGATTTTTTTCAATGCAGAAGCTCCACCTCACTAACACCATTTAATTTAATTTTTGTTCTTCTTTTGCAGTCAAACAAGGTGCCCGTGGTACAGCCTTCTCATGCGGTTCACCCCCTCACCCCTCTTATCACCTACAGCGATGAGCACTTTTCCCCGGGGTCACACCCATCTCACATCCCCTCTGACGTCAGCTCCAAACAAGGTGAGCTCATCCTTTCCCAGCACCATGGGGATGCAGAGTGGTCTCTGTGCTGCTGACAGAACTTTATTTGTAGTAGTTTAGAGGGAGGGTTCCAGGTGCATATGCCCACTTTCAGAGATGGTAATTTTGCCACGATGCTGATATTTAGTGTGGCTTCTTAAACTTTCATGCTCTTTCTGATGCGATAATTTGGGCTTGCTTTTGTCATTGGAGTCTTTTAAAATATCAATAAAGAGAGACCAGTTTTTACCCTCTTCAGCGGTGCCCGAGGCTTGAAGCATGCAGATGCAGAAAAGGCAATCAATCCTGACCTTCCCAAAAATGGGAGACAAGTACTTCAGTAATGATGTTATTGAAAATTTTTCTTTTTCCCTTTCACCTAAAATGATGTTTTATGTCCTTGTATTCTAGTTGTCCATATTCTTCCATATGTCAGTTGGCATAACTGAAGCATTTCCCATAAAAATAATTTTGAGCCTGTGCAAGTTAAAGCTTTACAAATGTGACATTTTTTAACCTTGCACCAGCTGCCTTCTGCAGAAAGCATCTTTTTAGATGGCTGTAAGTTTTCTCTGCACTCCTAGGAGTCCTTAAAGCAAACAAAAAAGCCTCCCAGATGCACATCTGGGAACATCAGACCAACCCCACTCTGTGTCAGTCTGCAGGCCCCCAGGGAACTGCTGACAGCCTTGAGGTGTTACGCCCAGCCTGTGCCAAGAGCTTCTGCCCAGCACCCAGGGGAAACCAGTGGTTTCTTGGGAACGATGTGCTTGCTTGCATTGGGATGCAGGAGCTGGCGGGGGGAGGTGCAAGGGGAGGACTGGCCCTGGCCATCATGGGTCTGAGCCAGCGTTTGGGTAAGCACCTGAGAACAAGCCTGCGTGGGAAAGCTGGTGGTAAGGAAGGAAGGAGAGGGAGAAGAAGGTTTACAGAGGCATCCACTGTATTCTGGATATTTGTGTGTAGGCATGAAGTCTGTAGGTGCCATAACATGTCCTGGAGGGTGCCTCTCCATGCCCCTTTCTGCACTCGCATGTCACACCATGTGGTGTTGACAAGATCATGAAGCTCTGCTTTACCTGGACACACATCCACATGCACAGTTGTCCCATTTATCTGAAGAGGTGTCCAGCCATCATTGTTCAGAGAGGGAGATGTTTTTTGTTCTGACTTTCCCTGAATGCTTAGCTTTTATTTTGACTGTGTAATGCAGGTAATAACAAGGGCTACATCCAGAAAACACTATGGCCTTGTGGCTCTGCGTGTTTTTTGCTGTTTGTTGGTTAGTTGTTTGGGTTTTTTTTAGGGAGGGGGAATGCAAAAAGCACTCTACCTGGAAATCCTGGCCTGTAAATACATGTATAATATCTTTTTCAGACTTGGAAGAAGCAAATGGAGGCCTCCTGTCCTCATTTGTCTTCCTCCTTTGCATCAGTGCCCAGGAGAAGGATATTCACACTCATTCCTTGAAATCCCAGAGGTGCCATGTGTTAAGAGAGCAGGATTTCCACCTCTTGCTGAAGCTGGCTGTGACAGCTGGGGCACACCCCGCTGCTGCAGTTCGTGAGCTCAAGAGGTTTTCACTTATTGCATGCTGGGTTTGCCCACCTGTGCCCCATTTTTTTCCTTTACTCTGATTGTTTTGTACTCCTGTACTGCAGACCCCAACTGAACAACATCTGGTTTGTTGTTTCTGCTGTACGTCCTCTCTCTCTTCTGCCCCTTCTCTACCCTCTCCCCTGTCCAGCATCCCGCTGGTCACATCCCCATCCCTGAGCACAAGCCTGGTGAGGGGCTCTTCTGGAAGGCACAAAGCTCATGCCCCTCTGGTGTTCCTGAATGGACTCTTGATCCCTTTGCTCAGCATCTGGCAAAGATGGGGTTGGATAATGCAGGCTGGAGACTACTGGTTTTGTCTGGGATGGTCTCCTTGATGTGTGTGGTCTTTCCATCCATACTCCCTGTTTCGATGCCAGTGGCGTGTGGGAGCAGCCGCAGTGAAGTAGCCCATGCAGTTGCTGCAAAGAGAGGATTTTTCTTTTCCTCAGGTCCTCTGCCAAACGCCTCCAACCATTGTTTCTGTCCTCGCCTCCCACTGTGGGTCTGGAACAAGGCACTGCCCTGCCGCCCTAGCCCTGATGCCAGGGTGCCCTCCTCCCACCAAAATCCTCCAGCAAGGGGGTCCACAGCAGCTTGTCTTCAGCACTGCTTCTTGCACCCGAGGTGCTTTGGAATGGACACACAGCACTGCCTTGCTAAAGGCAGTCAGTATTTTATTTTATTTTATTTTATTTTATTTTATTTTATTTTATTTTATTTTATTTTATTTTATTTTATGTTTTATTTTATTTTATTTTATTTTATTTTATTTTATTTTATTATTTATTTTATTTTATCTTATCTTATTTTATTTTATCTTATTTTTTTATTTGTTTTTTCTTAAACGTCTCATGAGCAAGAACTTTTTTTGGGGAACACTGGCTGTGTGATTGCTGTGTGTGCTCCTGCTGGGCATTAAGTAGCTACTAGCCCCCCATAAGGGGTGAGAAGTTTTGGATTATCAATAACAACTGTGCACCAGTTAAGAGAGAGCACTGTTGTCTCTATGGCTCAGAAATGCGGATTTTGGGGAAGGAGTGGCCCAGCTCCTTGCGCAGAACTTGGTCTGGCAGGGGCAAGGTCACGTCGTTACTTCCAGGAGCATCAGTCATCACCAGAGATGAGAGAGATGAGATGCTGGGCTTGTTTTTCACCTTTGTTATTTTTTTCTTTTCTTAAACCATTCAGAAAGAGTGTTTCCTCTCATATGAAAGCCCTGGGATCCTATCAGCTACCAGCTGTTTTACACCTTTGAAAAGACAACTGGCCAGAAATTTGATCCTCATTCATATTGTGGTCCCAAGTCTGAAAATTTTGTTTTTTTTCAGACAACACCACCACCGGTATTGTTTTCTGTGCTTTCCTGTACACAGTCCTGACAGATATACTTCAAATCTTGTAATTAAATTCAGAACATTTAAATACAAACTGGGGAGGGGAATAAATTACTGGCATCAATCTATAAACTAAGTCTCAAGGTAGCACGCACTCAGTCTTGGACCTTTGGAGTGTCACCACATAAATATTTAATACCCTTTTAAAGCAACTGATTTAACATGTGAAGTAGACTTAACAATTCCTTCTGCTTCACCCCCTCTTCCCCAAACACATTTAAATAAACCAATGTCTTTGTGGCCTCTGCAACTGTAATTCCATGTCTCCCGGGGGCACAAGGTTTAGGTGAAGAATGGAGACCACAGACTCTTTTGGGATGAGGATTAGCTTTAATCTTGAGGTGATTCTTGCAGTTGTAGGATTCTGTGTTCTGGGGAATGTGAGCTGATGGATCATTCCTGATGGGACTCTTATTTTTCCATGAAATACTAGCAATGCAAAACAGATTGACCTTGGAGCCCACAGGAGTCAACTTGATGAAGAGCTTAGTTGGAGCTGGAGTGACAATTGGAAGCCAAATGAATCATATCAAGTGTGACCATTACAGGCCTGAAAATTATTCTTAATTAAGCACTGATCCTCTATGGTAGCAAGTTTCCAAAATCTGTGAATCCATAAGGGAAACCGAGAAAATATAAAAGTAGCAATTTACCTAATCTAATAGCTCTGCTGTGCTGCCTCTTTGACAACACATTATTTTCCTCTTGTTTCATGATGTGTTAGAAGTGGTCCTCAGGATCCAGTGACGTTTGGTGAAACCATTGAGAGGACAGTATTGCCTAATGCATTTTACAGGAGGATCTAAACTTGCACAGGTCCTTACCCATACGTTTATTTCCACCTTCCACATCGGCTTTCCAGTTTCCCTTTGGATTGCAGCATTGTGTGCAAGTTAGTTACTATTTTAAGGGTGGCACGCAAAGCCTTTTGCTTTTAACACTAACCAAGAAGGTGGTTATTTCTTACCCAGAGCACTAATTCCATCGTAGTGTTGGCCGTGTCAGCTGTGAACTGCAGGTCACGCATGTAGTATTTTGAGGGGAAAGTCATTCATTCTTCTCTGCTCTTTAACAGGCATGTCCAGGCATCCTCCAGCTCCTGATCTCCCTACCTTCTATCCCTTGTCTCCAGGGGGGGTTGGACAGATAACACCACCTCTTGGCTGGTAAGATTTTTTAGCTTCTTTTCAGACAAAGGTGCATGTTCACACCATTCACTATTGTTGAATCAATTGCAGCATTTACAAAATAATAATGATAATGTCATTGCAGTAAGAAATTGCTATTTTATTTTAGTTGAAATTGAATTTGGTTTTTGAACAAGTACAGAAATTAAAGTGTGTAGATTTCACTTTGAAGTTTCTATATTTCTTATGGCTCAGATTTGTGGCTCTTAGCATTTGGAAAGATAGCAGAAAACAATTTTCAAGAAATGAAATGTAAGTTTTTAATAAACAAAATTGTAATTACTGAGGGGAGGAGAGGTAAGAAGGAACTTTGAAGTGTGTGGAGGGGTGTGAAATCTTGAAACTGCCCCAAATGGAGAACAAACTTTTTTAGTCTGCTGCTTTTTACACTTTCTGTATGGAGAGAAGCCTCTGTGACTGGGAGATTTTGCTGCTCTTGCTAATACTAGTGCTCTCAGGATCTCTTGCTTCCACTCAGGGTGTAATTTTCCTTTTTGAGGAAATGTGGTATTTTTGGAGTAATAGATTTGACAGGGTGCTGCATGTCTGCTTGGGGTAGATACGTACTTGCCCTCCATTCTGTTGGAGCAGGAAATAAGGAAACTCAGTAACAATTTCAGTGCTTTAGAGTCTGTATCATGAGTAGTCTATGCCCACACAATGAAGGATGCAGATTTTTTTGTTTTTTTAATGTCTCTATGGGAGGGAAATATGATCCAGATGACAAAAAGCAGAGAAAGTAAAGAGCAGAAGATGGTGAAATGCTGTATTGCTGGCATATCTTTCGGGAAAGGCCACATGCCTTTTTGAACAAATTATTGTCAAAATAAAATATAGGAGTATCTGACTATTTTTTTAATCTTTTTTTCCCCCCTCCTCCCCATTTTGCTGCTGAGCTGACTCCTCACCTCCACTGCCACCAGGCAGTTACTGACATGCGTTTTCCAGATGTGGTCAATCATTTCTTCTGAATGGTTTCTTAATGCAGAGGCTGGGGGGAGGGAAGAGGGAAAAGAGAGGGAAGAGAGACAAGATCCAATCTTATAAGACTAAGGGATGTGTTCAGCAGCACTCACCAACAGCGGGACATGCTCAGCTGTCCCTTATCCTCTGGCTTTCAGCTGCTTGCTGTGAGGTAGTGCTGTTGACACTTCCTTCATCTTTTTTTTTCCTTCTTCTTCCCTTTGAGTACCACTCATTTCCAGTAACATACTCCAAGTGTGAAACCTGTATCCTGAACCTTACAAAGGCCAGTATCCATTTTTTTCCCTCTGAAAGCTGACTGGCCAGTCAATAAGTAACTGTTTGGACAGGGCTGATGTGTGTGGTGGTCTTTCTGGCTGGTTCAGGTGTTTGGGCTGCTTCAGGTATTTGTTCACATTAACATAACATGCTACTTCAGGGTGTTCATCATAGTCATGACTGAACCATTGCTAACTGAAAATAAGCAAAATGTAGTGATGATGATGAAAAAAACTAAAGACCTCAAATGACGGACTGGTGACAAAATATTCTGTATATGTGGGAGCATAAAGAAGATAAAAACTTCACACAAGCTTCTCTTACTGTATTACAAAGTTTGATCTTTTAGTAGTAAGATAGATTTGTGTTGCTATGGGCTTTTAGGTGATTGGATTGTTTTTTTTTTTATCAAATAAACTTCTGCTTTGTTAGGAAAGCTGGCTATTTGTACCTCACTATAGCATATACTAATGGAGAAGGTCCTAAGTTTTCAAAGACTTAATAAAACTGTTCTAAAGGCTTTCTAGCTTAATAATTCACTGTCTGGTGTTCTTGCTCTGATCTACAGTAGAATTATTGGAAGAAAATGTGTTTTTCCTAAGAGCTCGTTTAACAAATCTGATTCCAGTGCTTATAATACTAAGTTAGAGAGGGATAGAGATAGAGGAGTGTGCATGTGTGTATGTGTGCACTGGAGGAGGAAGACTGGTTGTTTTGCTTTCCTTCTCAGTGGAAACTTAGATTGGGAATCTTTCAATAGCAAGGGAGAAAGTTGAAAGTGTTTAAGTATTAGTTACTTTCATTAGGAGAACTCTCGAAAGTGTTAGCTCTTACTGTTTATTGTGACTCGTACTGAGTTCCCATCAAGGGCTTGTAACTCTAGAATAACTACTGAATACCATATCGTATGATTGATGGGTTCCTTTCTTCTGTGACCTCAGGCAAGGTCAGCCTGTATATCCCATCTCGAGTGGATTCAGGCAGCCCTATCCATCCTCACTCTCAGTCGACCCTTCCATATCCAGGTAGGTGTAGGAGGTGAATGACTGACTGGGGAGTAACTGCTGGCGTTAGAGGGCAAGTTGCTCTTCCGCTTGTATCTTGGTCTGCCTTTGCTTGCTTTTCAGTCAGCTGAAACTTTATGCATACATTTTTATTTAACCTATGTGTGTATATACAGTTTGCCTGGATCCCACACTGGTCTCATTCAGCATTTTCTTGTCAGTCTCTGAAGTATTGCAATGAGGAACACCAGTGAATTGTCAGCAATTAATTGAGCTGTTTCATCTGAAATGAGTCATTAGTTCATTTCTAGATGCAACATTTAGTGTGCATCCTTGGGTTTCGCTCATACCATTATGCAAGTAGGTGGATTGTCACTCTAGTCTGTGTTCTCTAGTTCCAATTTTAAAGTTGTTGGTAATTAGTCTTGAATCATTTAGGTAATGCTCTGTGTGGAAACTTGCTCACAAGTAGATATTTCATAGCCCAAAGCCACTAATGGCAGAGGATGCCAGCACAGTGTATTTGTACTGGTGTGGAATCAGGCACTGTGTCTTTATGTCTAAGTGCAAACAAGCAATGCTAATTGAGACTTGGCCATGACACACTCCAGACCACCTATGCTCTGCTTTTGCATTCTAAAGACAGCTTCTGCATCCTGTGCTTGGTGTACACAAGGTTTGAATATACTATTCTTGGGGTTTTTCATGTGACTTTTAGAAGACACATCCTCTTGCACAGGGATTTAAGACAGGCCACTTGATAAGTGGTGAGTCCTCTTGCTTCTTTTTGTGTGGGCTCCTTTGGATTATCACTGTCCCTTCACTTCTTTACAGGGGAATGATAAGTATGTGTCTGTCAAGGTGATTGGGAAGAAAACCCATTCTTTCCCCATGATAAAATGGTTCGGTTTCAGGGCTTTGTGTTTCCTTTATTTTGGTGGCATGAAGGAAAAGAGCAAGGGGACTAGGGAATGGTGAAAGGAGAGGTTGGATACCATTCCTTAACCATCGCTCATTCAGCAAAACTTGGGAGTATGAGCTTGCTTTTTGTGTTAATGGTACTTTCCAGCAGTTTAAAATGAAGCATGCAGGTTTACTGCTGCACTTGAGCTTGCAATGCTCAGCACCTTCGACATCTGTCTGAGCTGTCCTTGAGAATGACCCGGGTTAGTAGGGTGGGATGATTCAATTAGTGGTACTTCGGTTTTATTTTCCATTTTCATTCCTGTACAAATGAAAGGAAGCTTTAATTAGGACAAAAGTCTCTCCCTGCTCCCATCCTGCATCCAGGATGCAGAATTTTCAAAGTTTATTTTAAGCTTTTGAGGGAAAAATAGTGGGTTCAGGTGAAGTGATGTTAAAATCTTTTACCTTAAGGGCTTTGAAAACTAAAGAGATTCCTTAGGGAGCCATCAGGGACTTCTTGAAAAGACTCTTCTTTATTTTATTTGTTTCTGCATGGCAGTTTCCTCCTTTGCATTGGCTGGTGGTGGATATTTTAAGAATGTTTATATCTTGGTGTGGAAATATATTTTTTTGGTTAAGAAATGTGTATTTTTATTGCTAGTCAGTGCAACAGTATAAACATTAAGTGTTTCTTGTTTGCATTGCTAAAACTGTTTGCCTGAAAGTCAATAAAATAACTTCTCTACAACCAAAATGTTGACTGATTTTATTTGTTTGTTTGTTTGCTTTTCTTGAATAAATGGGCTACAATGCACAAAACTTAGCCAAATATTTTTCATGCACTCTTTAAGAGTTATCTTCATTGTGAGCTTTGTAGCATTTGTATTCTTGGAGCGTCCTGCTGCTGTCTTACGTGCTTGATGCCTGTCTTCAGTAGGGTTACAGACCTTGCTTTGTTTTCTCTTGTAGGTTTTCGCATCATATGATTCCTGGTCCTCCAGGCCCTCACACAACTGGAATCCCTCACCCAGCTATTGTAACACCTCAAGTAAAACAAGAACATCTGCACAACGACAGTGAGCTAATGCATGTGTGAGTCTGCCTTTCTGCATTAGCCCTTAATCTATAAATGTTTGAGAACTAACTCTATCTGAAGAAGAGTCAAATATGTTAAAAAAAAAGTGCCTTTCATGACCTCTTTGAATTTTAACTCTTCTCCTAGAACTAAAACGGGAACTGTGGGCTACTGTTTGGGAAGGGTAATGAGACATGAAGCCATTTTTCATTCCAGTCCGGCACTTTTAAGCTGTTGGCAACAACCATCTTGATTCAGGCATAATCATGGATCTGTCTACCTGTTGCTTGAATGTGAACTCACAAACTTCTGCTGGAAAAGTTCTTACTTGCAAAATTTACTAGTAAAGAACAGCATCACTGCTTGATACTGAAAGGCAAAAGGCCTAAAAAAGAAGTGGATGAGAAGCTGTCCTCCTGCCTGTGGCAGTGGTCTTTGTGGGTACTATGGATAGCCTTTCAAAAAGAGAATTGAGACAAGTGATAAATTTGGAACAGATTCACCAATCAAATGTTACTTGCTAGAGAAGGTCAACCTGACATCCTCTCTGAGTATTAAACTAAGTCAATTCTCTGAAAAAATGTGAAAGTGGATGGGACATGACTACTGAAATTCTCATTCTTACTATTAAAGTGCTACTGTAATCACAGGTTGGTAATTTTCTATTGATCTTTTTTAGGCTAAAGGTAAATTAATGCTTTTTTTTTCTTCCTTTCCCTTTCCCCCACCACGTTTTAGGAAGCCTCAGCACGAACAGAGAAAAGAACAAGAGCCAAAAAGACCTCATATTAAGAAACCTCTGAATGCTTTCATGTTGTACATGAAAGAAATGAGAGCAAATGTTGTAGCAGAGTGTACTCTGAAAGAAAGTGCAGCTATCAACCAGATTCTTGGCAGAAGGGTATGTACGGGAGGGTTTGTGTGTACTCATGTGTGCTGCTAATTTGTGTGTTTCCCTTTAGTTGGGTGTGATTGCTCACTTTCTGCTTGAGGTGATAAGTAATGTGCAACTATCAAATTAGCTACAGAAGATAAAATATGCAACTAAAAACAAAAGCTGTATCTTGAATTTCTCTTTTCAGCATTAACAACATCATCCAATTGGTGTCTGTTCCACTCATGTTATGGTGTCAGCAGCTCAGGCATGAAATATCCTCATTCACACATGGAAGGAGCATTCAAGTCACCTTAGGCTGGTGTCCATCAGAGCAGGAAGGGATCATTCAAAGATGAACACTGGATGCCACTGGGGATGGAACTCATAAGTGAATATAATGGGGTCCAATTGTAAAGTCATGTAGGTTGGGTGGGACCCATGGAGGTCATGTAATCCAACATCTGCTCAAAGCAAGTCCAGTTACATCAGGATGCTCCGGGACCTGTCCAGTCAAGTTTTGAATGTCTCCAAAGTCATCAGCCGAGTACTGATGATCCTAGTACATGTACCAGAGCTTTGCTGAGAGCCATTTGCTTCTGTGGCATTGCAGTCATACTTTGTACTTTCCATCTCAAAAAAAACCTATGCAGGCCAACTCACAGTCACAAATCTCACGTTCACTGTTGGTGTTATTCTTCCAAGGGAAGGCAGCAGAGGTAAATGCCCATTTTGCAATTGACTTCCAGAAATGAGAAAAGGGGTGACTTTTGTATCAATCAGAGTTTGAGCAGGGATTATTCAAATTCCCAGTGAACATCTCTTCTTGATCACTGACCAAGGCAGTATTGAGAGGCACTGTAGTTCTCTGAAAATCCTGTGCTTTCAAGTGGGAAATCAGTACATGACCTTAACTGCCCCTTTTATGTTGCAGTCTGAAGACTTCCCCCTCCAAACAGAGCAGAAATCTATTGGTACTTGTCCCAGTTTCTGCAGCCTTCTGCCTCTGTTGTTCTTGTTACCTCCCCTTAAAGGACGTCTTGGTGCTTGCCTTTTCCATGTTTTCATTCTCACTCCCTCAGTAATTGATCTTAGTTCCTTAGTATGTCAGCCTTGTTTTTTTGGCCTGAATGAGAGCAGTGGCTTATTTATCTCCATTTTGGTAATGAATCAAGCCTTGGGGCTCAATTGCCTACTTTTTCTGCAGCTTATACTCCTCTTTTCAAATTACTTTCTCCATGAAAGTACCTGAATTTCTACTTTTCCTGTACTGCGAACAGTGCATGAGTTATCCAGTATAATTGCTTTGAGATTGATTGTCACGTGTTTTGTGTTTTGCCCTGTGCTACCCCAGAACAGGAACTACCTCTGTTCTCAAGAGCTGACACTTTACATGCCACTGGGCTCTCTGATGCCACACCATAGTGTTCAATACCTTCCAATTTTTGAATGTGCATGTGAGGTTTGAGAGTTGCAAACCCGGTGAACTGCTGTGCTCTCAGTAACACATCGAACTTGCCAAGTTAAGGCAGACAAGTGCTTTAGTTCACATCCTCTGATGTGTAACAAAACAACATATTAAATCATACAAATGTGATCTGATCTGAAATCCTAATTCTGTAAATTATTCTTGCTTGAGTGTCTTAATGATTTCATGTCTGTCTGGTTTTGGTCGGTTTTTTTTTAATAACTTCTTCTCCCCCTACTCCTCCATGCATGTTGACAAACAAGAAGACAAGAAGAGACATCTGCTGCAGCAGTGGAACCTGATTCTAAATAAAAGACCTTTACTGTTTTTGGTTCAGGTCTGTGATAGGTGTTTCAACAAGAAAAAAATTATTAGATACCAATGTAGGTGGTGCCTTTTCAAATGTGCAGGTGGAGAAGGGTTATTTTTTGGTGGTTTTTTTAGGGTTTTTTTGTAGGTGGGCGAGGGGTTTGTTGGGGGTTTTTAGTACATAAAAGCAGGAAATTTATCCCTGCTTGGCTACAAAGGTCAACTCATGTAATTTGAAAGAGTGCAGTTCTGTGATTTCTGTATCTTAGAAACTTTTGCCGTTGCCATTTTCTTTTCTTCTGTTACGAAAAGAAGAAATCATAAAGCAGGTACCTTGAAGCTTGGTACTTAGAGGTTGATCTTGGAACACGAGCCTGCTGGTGCCCAGAAAGCCTTCTGTGTTGGCATTGAAAACTTGTGTCTGGCTGCTCCTTAAAACCAAAACAGCAGACCCTTCTATGAAGGGGAGATTACTGACTTTTAAAAGCAGCACAAATCCTTTCTGTTTTATCAGGAGCTAAAGGGTGGGTTTTGTTGTTGGTTTTTTTGTTGGGGTTTGTATGGGTTTGTTTGTTGTTGGTTTTTTTAAGTAGTGTTGAGAGAGCATGGTTCTGTGAGCAGATTATTTTTTGAGCCCTGTTTCCATAAATGATTTTTGTCTGCTCAAGGCATTTGGCAGTTGCAGAGCTGACAAATGCCTGGAAGTTGGTTAATAAACACAGGTGCTTATAATTGCTAATGAATTTCATTTTTGCAGTAGGGAAGGACTGAATCAAAGTCACTAAAACACTTGCTCATGTCATCTGTTGCCTAGGTATGAGTTAATTCCTAGTCTAATGTTATGTTTATTTTGTTTGCAGTGGCATGCTCTCTCCCGTGAAGAACAAGCGAAATATTATGAACTAGCTCGTAAAGAAAGGCAGCTACACATGCAGCTTTATCCAGGCTGGTCTGCAAGAGACAACTACGTAAGTCACTCACTTGGAGGCTTTTTTTTGAAATTAACTTCCTTTTCCTAACTTTTTTTATGATTTTTTTCTTTTTCTCTATAACTTGGGGGAAGTCCTGGATGAAGGGACAGTGAACATACATATAACATAAACCTTTTATTTGCACTTCAAGCATCCAGAAAACTTGTTATTTTGTTGTTGTTGTTGTTGAGATGCTCCTTATGAAGTTCACAGTTTTCAAGGGGAAAAAATTAACATGGGAAGTTTTCTCCTAAAACAATGGCCAGTACTGTCTGGAAGCTTATGTTCTGCTGTACAGGTGTGATTTTACTATCATTTTCCATTTGGTCACTTGTTATCCATAAATCTTATTTAGACCTGAGAAAAAAGGGGCGTCTTGCTTTCAAAAGAACTGAAAGCCCGAGAGTCTTAATGCAGACTGAACTTTAGCTGAAACTAATTCAGAATGGTCCATCTGTGAAATAAAGGCTGCAAAATTTGTGTAAGTAAACTTGATAATAGATCCTGCTGTTAGACCATTTGGTGCAGTGAGGTTTTCTTACAGTTACTCTTGTTTTATAATTAAATATCAAACAAGTGCTAATAAAATGTCACACAGCTTGCACTGCACAGTTATACTACTGTGCCTACAATGAGCTGTCGTTGTAGTCATATGTGATGGTATGAAACTCAGAAGCTGCAGTTCTGAGAAACTGATCCTAACCTGAGGATCCTTGCTGTCCCTCCATTGGGCCGTTATTTACTGTGATAGGAAGTGCTATTTCTGGCTCTGTTTTCCATCTGTATTAGGTGCACAGCAATTTTTCTCTACTTCAGTGACATCTTTGGACATTAAAGGTTGAGGTACCTATATACAGTGTTAACAGAAATTGTAGAAACTGGCACAGAATGCATTGACACAGAAACTAAGTGATGGTCTCTGAAGCAAATGCCTTTGTCTTGCTAATAGTCATGCCCAGTTTTGTAAGCACAGACACAACTGTAAGCCCTAGCAGCTTGTTTCTGCCATTTAGGCAGTCATCTTTTCTAGCCAAAAAAGCTGTCATGAACTTATGCAGGTAACCAGACCATGTCAACGGAGCTGTCTTGAATTACTGCTGGGAACAAATCGGGTCTTAGTGAGAGACTCCTTGGAAACAAGAAGATTTCAGTTGTCTTGAATTTACTTGCTGGAAAATGAGACCACTTCGGAGTGTTGTCAGCTCATGCTTACTGAACATCAGCCTTCAAGATTGTGCTGTGATGCTTGGCCAGGCTGACTTTGAGAACCTGATGTGTTTTGTCACAGCCTGCTGCCATACAGCCCAAGCAGTGGACCTGCAGTTTCTTAAATGCCTTGATAGACATTTGGAGTGTGTAAGGTGGCATGTATGAGTTCTCTCTTTGATGTGCTTCCAACCTACATCCTGTGTGGAAGTATAGCTCTGACATACTCCAGTCCTGCATGCTAAAATGAAGAACTCTGCTAGCTTCCTCTTGCAGCCTTCCTCTCTGCCTCTCCTGGAATGCACACATTTTGCAGTGGTGGTGGGGCAGTGGTCATAGTAGATCACAGTTTATCACTGAAACCTTTTCAAATATACGTCATCTTTTTTTTTTCTTTTTCCCTCTTCAGTTTTTCTAAATTAAGCAGTCAAAAAGTGAAATTGTATTAATTTAGCACAGGTATTACTGCAGTGTTTTGAGAGTTGAAAGTGACTTAGGGGCGACTCTTCTGATTCATGTGGCTGTATTTCACAAAACAGTACAAGTAAAAAATATATACTGTTTGATTTTCATTCTTCTATTTTGATTTGCCTGATTATTCAGGATTTTAGAAATGTCAAGAAAATGTTAAACATTGTTATTCAGTGGTTGAAATTATCTTTTTATTATGTTTTTATTACTGATACCCAAAGTAGTCATGCAAAGTTGTGTGGTAGACATGAGAAGCACAGTGTTTTCACAATGTGATTGCATGTGTGTGTGCTGGAGTTGTCAGAAACTATCTCAGCTGTGAATGCTGACAACTAGTTTTCAGCCCAGCCTTCTGTTCCTTCACTTCCTTTATCTCATAGATAGATCTCAGATCAGCTTTCAGTGTTTTAGCACTTGAAGTCTCTGGCCTGCCATTGAGAATAAAACCAATTTTCCTCCCATGATTCTTCCATGTTAACATCTGTACTAATGCACTTCCCTCCCTCCATAAAGAAGTATTGCCTTGGTGCCTGAGTGATAAAGCATATCACTGTGAGTTCCCTGGAACCCTTGAAATGTACTTTCCAACTTCTAGGCTGAGTCCTGACTTAGGCAGGCATTGCCCAGCCCTGTTGCCAGTCTTGGGATAAATAAGGACAGGAGCTTAAGAGTGAGGCAGGCCCAGACTCTCAGAGCAGACTGGAGATGGAGAAGTCCATCTTCCATAGCTTCACCGTAGCCTGTATTTGGAGCCCTTGCTTGCTGTATATCAGTGAGCACTACAGTGGTTTGGGATGGTTTCTCACATCACCTGCTGTCCATCCTGTCACCTTGCAGAGCTAGCTGATGGAAAGAGGTGTCCCACCACCTCAGCCCTTCCAGTCTGTGGCCGCTGTGTGTGGTGGGGCATACACTGACAGCTGCCAGCCACGCTGAGTGGGGGGCCAGAGGATGGACAGCAGGCTGCAGACCTGCTCACAGCAACTGCACTAAGATTTACCAGAGCAATTCTGTTAGAGCCTGACTGAAGGCTTCTTTAAAATATCAATGGAGATGACTGTTTTCTTCAAACACACAAAAAACCCTTTGTCTGACAATACAGGACAATAATGACAACTCATATGGAGGAATATCAAAGTGGTAGTTAGGGTAAGGCAAGATGATTGAGGTTCAAAACTGTGGGTCTAAACTGACCTTTTGTTTCCTAAAAGAGTGTGTGAAGCAGGAGCTCTGGCCATTTCCCTAGTTGGGGGTGCAGGAGAGGGCTAAGTGTATGGGTTGGTGCGATGGCCCTGCACGCTGGTGCCAGTGTGTTCTACAGGAAAGACAGCTGCTGGGTGTTCATTTGTGTCCTGCACCTCAGGCACGTTAAGGGTGCTCTGCTGTACAGCAGGAGCTGTTTGGTTATTGTACAGTGTGCTCTCTGGGCACAGCCATACAAGACTTGGCTTTTGTTAAGGTACAAGTGTTATCAGAACAGTTTTAGTTGGCTGGTTTGCACCCTGGGGACAAGTCATGGTCGTCCTAGGTACTTTCAACACCCTGTCTGCTGTTACCATGTATGAACAGCATAAGTATCTGAATGTGTGAAGAGTTCTTGTAAGAGCCATAAATTACGGTATCAACATACATGTCATCAGATTATTAAGTGTGAGAAGTCTTTCAGATGCTTGCGGCTGTCAGCATTAGTTGAAAAACTGCCAGAAATTGTAATTCCATGTGGATATAAAAAATATGTATTGCTGATGTGCATATTTCTCCATAAATGCCGAGAGCAAACTTTGTTACCATTGAACCAGTTGGAAGTGGGATAGAAAAGGTTTTAGCTGCCCTGAAAATAACTGGGTTTTTTCCTAACCACTTTCTCAGTGTCCAGATGACTTTTGCTTCTATGCTGTGAGGTTAAGTGACAAAAAAAAAAGGTTGTGCATGTAATGGTATGGTAAAATTTCCTATTTTTCAGGGGAAGAAAAAGAAAAGGAAGAGAGAAAAGTTGCAGGAATCAGCATCAGGTAGGCCATGACCAGCTCTTACTTGCCATTCACCTCAGGGATATTTTAGAAACCATAGCTTGCGCTATTTATTTTTACATGCTTTTCTCTAACACTTGCTTCTGATGGATGTTTTAAGATACTTCACTTCGAATGCAAGCTTGTGAAAATGCACACAGTATGTACCTCCTTTCCCTTACACCTTTCTGAGCAGCAGCACTGACGGCATCAACATCTTTGGCTGAACTTATGCATTGCTGCAATCACTGTCCTGCTTTACCTCTGCTTCTCTCCTCAACCAGCGTTGTATCATCCTTAAATTTAAATATGTCTCAAATACTGTGTGGGATTATTGAACACTGGAAACTTTACACTGACCTTCTTGTAGCCACTGTATATTTTATCACTGTATTTTAGATTTCTGTGTACACTAACAGCTGCCTAGTAAGTTGGCTAAAAGCATCAGTGAGGTCTCCTCTTTACCTGTAAAATATGTATAGGAAACACCCTGTTTTCCCCAACAAAAATGGCTGGTATAAGAACCATAAAAAACCAAACAACAAAACCAAAAACACACATAAAAAAATCCACGTAACACTGTAGCAATCAAACTTATTTGGAATGTGCAAAAACTCTGTAAGAGAAATTTGTTAAAGGAAAACAATCTTCTACAGGTACAGGCCCCAGAATGACAGCTGCCTACATCTGAAGCATGGTAAGAACATCTCTAAAGCTTTCCTGCTGATAAAACTGAATTTTAAAATAAGCTTTCTTATAAATTTTATGCAATAATGTGAATTTAGCAAAAATTGCAGAAGTATCATATCTCAAAGCTAATGTTACTTTGACTACTGATGGTTTTTATACCGGCTATCTATTAGATGTTCACCATTTCACTGCTTAACTGTAATATTTTCAAATTGACCACACCTCACTGACTCGCTGCAAGTCTGCCAGTGAAGCCCAGGGATGGGTTTATTAAGCAGTGCAAACCCTCCCAGCCAGCAGACTGTCACAGTTCATAAGAGCAGGTTAGATGCTGGCTTTGGAATACATTTTATGTGTTGACATCTACAAGATGCTGGCTGGCTGGGTACACTTTTTAAAAACAATTATTCACCTGTATACTAACAAAACATCTGCTAGGAAAATGGGACTGTATTTCAGTTGTGTCAAGAATTTCTCCGCAGCTGTACAGTGGTATTTCACGTGTGGTGCAGGTTGGGGTTTTTTGTGGTTGTATTTCCAGCATGTGTTTTCTCTCTTCATATCACGTCATCTGCACTGAGGGTGGAATGACTGGTTACACACATGCAATAACACCATCTAGTCTGCTTGTGAGTGCACACAGTACCACAGTGAGATCCTCATTTCTCAGTGTTTGTGTTGGAAGGCCGGTCCTTCTCTTTCTCTCAGTGTGATATCTTTTCTAGTAGGAATGGCATTCATATGACATACTAGTTGGTTCTACACTAATTAACCAGACTGCTCTTGGGAGATCTCTGAGAATTCCAGGAATCATGCAAAAAAATAACACTTGCTAAACTCACCTATGTACTATATTAGAAATAGGCTCTCTGTCCTCTCTTCCTCTGCCTTATTTGGCCACATGATCCCTGTGGGACTCAAGAGAGGTCAGCAAAGCGGGCTCCTGTTGGCCCTCTGCTCTGCTTGGACTTTCAGCCAAGTTCAGTTTCCTCTGTGCGGTGTGTCAGCGATCACTCAGCATGATTCGAGCCTCTTCTGAAGTTATGCCATTATGTTGGTTAGTCTAAACTTGGTTGGGTTAAGACTTTGGGTTTGTTTTTTTTTTAAGCTGAAGTAAAGTGAAAAGGTGAAATGCATGCTCTTTTTTCTTCCTACTATAATACCTACTAAAAACCCAAGTATTTTAACCTTGAGTTTTATACTTCAGCTTAGTTGCCCAGATCCATAATAGTTGTAAATAGTTCTCCCTTTAATCTTAATACAGTACCAGTAAGCAAAACACTCAGAATTTTATCTGAATTGATGCAGAGCCCTTGATTGGGATTGGAATACAACTAAGGTTCAAGTGACAGCTAAAATACAGGGGATATTTGGTTTCTTGGATGATCTAAGGATGACCGCCTTGTCTATGCTGAACTATGTTATTGAAGTTTCTCTGTTTGCAATTTCCATAATAGAGGATTAATGTTATAAGTGTGGGGGTTTTCTCTCTTTGCCTTTGACTTCCTTCCTTCCTTCCTTCCTTCCTTCCTTCCTTCTGCCCTTTAATGGTGTGCATACCCATCTCTGTCCTCATGCAATTTATAACATGGAGTATGAGAACAGTATATATCTTCTTCCACGGAAGGGGAGTGTGCTGTTGACTCCATATATGCACATGAAGGCAGCCTCACTAAATGTTGCATGCCGAGTGAATGATCTCCACCGGAGATGTACAGATGTGCTCTTGCTGGAAGTAAATGCACAGAATGATTTAGGGAACCTGAATCAGCCAGACTTCAAAGTAAACTTCTGAAGGTTAAGACTCTCGCCCTCTGCAAGCCTAATCCAAAGAATGTTTTGCCCACAAGCATAATATCTTACTAGGCCCACAGCAGAGCTGTTGTAGTCTCTACTGGATGGAGATAATAAGTTTGGGAATAGCTTTCTTACTCTTTCAGATGGTGCAAGGAAGAGGGGGAAGGAGGGTGGGAGGTCTGGGAAGGAGACAAGCGTTCTGTTATCTGAGAAGAATCAGAAATGAGTAGGTGGCAAGACCAAAGAAAGAATCTCAAGATCAGCATAAAGGAGATCAGCCAGGGCTGTAATTATGGTGATGTAAGTGAGAAGGATGAAATGGTGGGAGGGTTGTGTGGTGGGATGTTCAGAGGAAAGTAACGGAAGAGACATGCAAACAGAAATGATTTAAGATACTGTGAAAGTTTTGGGTGTGTTTTTTTTTTTTTTATTTTTGTCCATGAACCCTTCAGCACATAAGTGATTTTTAAGGTGGACCTCTAACCTGCTTTTTGCCTTGGACATGATTTGAGTGGTAAAGTCAAGGTGGTAGCATTAAGTTGCCCGTTTTCCAAGGGTTACATAAAGCAGCAGGCATCTTATGGCTTCACTGCTTAGGATTTAACTGAGTTCTGTGATCTCCAACATGCTGAATGGCCATTTTGTAAAACAGTTTAGAGTGCTTTAGGAATACCGTGACCCTGTGCACCAGTCTTTGCTATATTATCCTGGGGTGCTTCAAAGCATGTCACCATTCTGTAAGAGTTTTGGAACTGTCCCAGGAAGGATTTTGTTTGCAGTTGACGTGGTCCAACACAACGTTTGAAATAACTTTGATTTGTTAAAGAAATAACTCTTATTTATTCTCTTCTTTTGAAATCAACCAAGAGTGGAATAAGACCTGATAATGCTAAAAATAAATTTAGGAGGGGACAGGAGGGAAGGGGAAATGAGGAAAGCTAAGACTAAGGACAATGTAGAGATGACCTGTTGAGCACCTTCTTGAAAGGTGAGTGTTTTCTTTTTACTTTAAGCTCAACATTCTAGAGGATTTGAAAATAGGAGCAATTCTGTGCTGGAAGTGGAAATTCCTAATTTTCTATTCAGTTTGACTTTTGGAAGCTAAAAAAAGGCAATTTTTAGCATCTCATGAGTATTTAGAAATCAGCAAGGAAATAGAATGGCACTAACAAAAATTCCTCCTGATCTGCAGCATGGAAATACTTAACTTCCTATGACTTGCTCTGTGTGGTAATTGTAAAAGGCACATTATTCAACATGTGGCAGGATGCAATTGGGAAACTACGTAATTTAACATCGTGTTTTGGCTTATCTTCAAGGGCTAAAAAGAGTGATAGAGAAGGTTAATAGACATTTGAAAACCTGTGAGAAGTATATTTGTGGCTTGCAAAATTCCATGACAATTAGCATCTACATTAGCAAAGCTTCCAAAAATAAGAAAACTTGACTAATACCGATTTACAATCAGAAGAACTTAAAAGAATCAGATTAAGACTGTTTAACTTTAAACAACAAATTATCTTAACATTTCAAACTTCCTACATGGAAATTGGAGCCAAATTTCAGTGCAGAAGTGATTTTTGGGTAGTGTTGTAACAATTTCTGACTGGATTATGTTTTCCTTATTACTTAGAAATAAAATGGAGTGAGGCTCTGAAAGCAAACTATAAGGTGGACCAATATATGGCCAGAATACTGTGGAAAAGAAGCATCTGAATACTGTGATCATGGCTGACCATGGGTTTCTAGCCAGCATCCTAGAAAGGAGATGCAAAGAGGATGTGGTACCTTGATTTCTGAGGCATGTGTTTTCAAACCTGCCTTGACCAGTGCTCTTGAAATTGCTGCTGGAGTAGTTAAAAGTGAAACAAATGCTCTAGCCCTTTCCATAGCTCTTGACTGCTCAGAAGCTTTAAACAGAGCCTGGAGGACTTGCACAGAAGTTAGTGAATGTGAGAATTTGTGTGGTCATGGTGGTGCAGAGACATGTCCTGATTTACTTTAAAATTGTTTCCTCTGTGACCCATGTTTCCCTGTTCCCAGTTTTGCCTAAAAATAGTGGCCTTCAGCACAGGCAAGAGGGACAGAATGAAAAGAAAAAAATTTGCAGGCTTGAAACATTTATATTATTTCAAATAGGCATAGAAATTTCCAAGGAGTAGGAGTATAGCCCTCAGACAGATCATAGAATTGAAGAGTGGTTTGGCTTGGAAGGACCTTAAAGATCATCTATTTCCAAGCCCTCTGCCATGGGCCAGGACACCTTCCACTAGACCAGGTTGCTCAAAGCCTCATTCAACCTGGCCTTGAACACTTCCAGAGATGGGGGATCCACAGCCTCTCTGGGCAACTTGTTCCATTGCCTCAGAACCCTCACAGTAAAGAATTTTTTTCCTAATATCTTACCTTCTGTCAGTTTAAAGCCATTCCCCCTTGTCCGATCACTATATGTCCTTGTAAAAAGTCCCTTTCCATCTTCCCTGTAGGCCCCCTTTAGGTACTAGAAGGTCTCACTG